CAAAACGATGATTCAAGAATTTCCAAGATCTGGGTACAAGAAGTCAAGAAATTACAAGATGTTCAAGATCTTGACTTCTTGAAATTTCTTGAATTCTTATATTTTCTTACCAAGATCTTGAATCAGGATCTTACTGAAAAAATTCAGAAAGTCAAGATCTTGGTTACAAAAAGTTTCACTAGGGTATAGATCTATATGGACGTGTGCGGCCTCTACAGATAGAGGTGCCACCTTCATAGAGTCCACATTGGTTCATACGAAGCTGTGGTAGAGAATCAGATTTCTGAAAAGATTTTTCGAACAACGTCGATAAATTCATTTTCTAAAGATTTCTTTTGCTTACTAGCTCGAAATATCGATTGAGGTATAGATTTGAGACGCAAACGGTCTAAAATTCTTGAATGAAAGGTTGCAAAAATAAGACTGTTAAATTGATATCGTGAAAAAGCTGCAGTGGTGGTAATTCCTTTTTTTGGTCCAAAGTACGATTTGATAAAGCAGCGTCAACATCATGATTGTTTCAGGACTTAGTGATATATGCATAACCTTACTTTACAACGCCTCTGCATGATGTAAAAAACATTTCACAACAATCATCTACCGCGACTATATGTTTTTTCTCTCGCCAGTCACCTACCTTTACGCACTCAGAAAGAAAAACAACAAAAGAGTAAGAAAACAAGTAAACAGCTAGAGAATAGAGTGAAAAAGAAAAATATAGAAGCATGTGAGTATGAGTGGAACTGAAAGAAATTGTCGTTTTATCCGAAAACGGTCTAGATATTTTAATTCTCGGCGACAAAAGAAACATTTTGATGGTTTCAATGTAAGGGCGCTTTCTTTTATTCGATTAAGGACATTATCAATGTCTATGAAGCATGAAAATGATAATTAGTAGGAAACTGTCAATAATTACTGATGCAAACAGTAGATATCCTGGCTTGTGTGTATTATGAAAGTGATGCTTAACATCACACGTCGGCTGTCACTCTTCTTGACACTTCATCATTCGGGTCAACATTAGTACCAACGATGAGGGACTGCTGATAAGCGGTTAGTTTGAGTGGCTGCTTGTTATCGAACAGTGGCGCGCCTATAATTATAATGAATCAAATGTATGAATGGTTTGACTCCAGTCTTACTTACTCGAGGTAATCAGCTCGTGCGGCCAGTGTGAACAGGCTACTCTCTGTCTTACCAGTTTTTGTCTGGCCATTCGAAATTCTTCGAGCTTGTCGAACATGACCATTCCTGTTGGACTCATGCACACGTAGGCTACAATGCGCAACAGTCGAGGAGATTCGGCGTCAGTCAAGCTGCTCGCCTTTTCGCCCATCTTGTCATTGTTGTCGAGCGCTGGTGTGTTGCAGTGAATACACCGCGAATCCCACACCACGAGATCACCCGCTTTACATTTGACTAGACGTGCATTCAATTGTTTCAGCAGAGGATGCTCAGATGGTATGGCCACGTAATTGCCATGTCGATCATTGGCGCTGACAAGTGATTGTAGTTCACTGAAGTGCTTGTGCGAGCCGGGCACAATTACAAGGCCACCCGTAAATTCGTTGCTATCTGTTATGGACACTAGGCCTTGGATCGAACAGCGATCGGGCTTTCGAATGGGATGCTACCATCAGATAAATATGGAAACGGGTGAAGTGAATTGTCAAAACAGAAATTTAAAAAAGAAAACACTGACTTGATCGCAATGGTACCAGCCACTCTTTGTCTTCCACCTGTGATTCAGATGCCAGTCACGAAAGGTGCCAGCAGCATCGAACGAGACAAGCAATTCGGATGTTTGCCAGATTAGAGCAAAAACCTTTTTCACATTTGGATTGCCTCGCACCGACCACATAAACTGCGACTGGCCGATACCTTCATTCGGCATCAATCCGAAACGAGGGATGCCGGGCCATGCAACGTCCCACGTTGTTGCATCCTTTCGCCGAATCTGATATGGCAAAGGTAAGTTCTCCAAATGGTTCCACAGTAGATCGACATTGGCTGTGATCTCATCTGACGCAAGCACATCGCCGAATACGGCATAGCCGTGTTCGTTCAAATGTTCGATACCTTGTTGCAGTTGAAGAGCGTTATGCACGGAGAAGCGTAGCGAATCGACTTTATAATCGACAGAGTTAGGCAGATTCGATTCTATTTGCTGTGCCGATGGCGGTGTCGACTTAGAACCACGCTGACCCATTAGGAAACGAAGCAACGATGCACGTCGAACAACAACCGAAGACTATTCTCTGAAAAGTAGTGAGAAAGAAATTTGTCTTTTTTGTGAAGCGATTTGAGTAAGTACAGTGCTACGTTACTTTTATGTGCCACGTGTCACAAAACAGAAACATGCAACCGATCTTGACACGTATACCTTTCAGATTTATTTGTGACTCATGGCAATGACGCATTCTTACATAACGCAAACTAACCAAGCATATTTCAAGAGTAACCAAACACTAACCAAACATTATAATAGAAGAAAATAATAATAGAAATATGCTCGGTTAGTTTGCGTTATGCAGAGATAAGCTAGTAAAAATGAGTCATTGTCATGAGTCACAAATAAATCTGAAAGATATACGTGTCGAGATCGAGCAGACGTAGTGTATTACCGAAAAACGATGAAAATGCCTACAAAAGGACTATTCTGCTGGGAAATGGGATTTCCATAGGTCTAGAAGACCACCATGCCGTTGTGTTAAAATCTTTTAAACGTGATATTCGTCATCAGGAGCCCGAGTTCTAGTAGTCCTGTTACTCTCGAACAGTCCGGACAAAGTCGATGTGAACGTGGTACGTTCTGGAAAGAACAATCCAATAGTAGTATGTATATAATAGATACTCACTTTAGCACTTGATGAACGGGAACTTAATGAATGAAAGATCTTAGTGAATGTGGAATTGTCTTGCAAGCGAAATATCAGAAAAAAACAGGCACATAACAATCATTGTTTTCCATTTAGATACAAAACAATGAAGTATTAGAGTCAATGGTCATGTCACGAGATGTTGCTGTTCTTCCTCACAGAAAAATACCGCATAAGCACAGCAGTTCATTGACATTAAAGTGTACTTTTTTGTTTCTTTCACAGAAGAAAAGCGTATGCGCAGATAGGCAGTAGTACTATTATTCTAGGCACCAGTAAACGAAAATTGGTACAATAATAAAGGATTCTTCGGATTTGGTTTTCCTTTTTATAAGCTGCATTTTATTGATAAGTATATAATTTAAAGACAGAATAAAAAAAGAAGCCTATGATATCATTTTCTGCCCGTGATGGCGATGCTATACGCACTCAGAAAGAGAAACAACAAAAGAGTAAGAAACATTCGTCCGGTTGAGAAGTGTAAGACAGTCATGAGACCAAGTCTGGTCTCTATTAGAACTAAATGCTCCTCGAATACCAGTGCAACTAAGTCCGTTTTAGAGCATTTGATTGAGACCAGCACCGTATTTCTGCCTGACATTCGTGAACCTTGGTCATTTGTAATGCAGGTAAAAGTATTTATAAAGTTTTAAGCAGAAACACGTGAGTTGATTAAATTCTAAAAATTTAGATGTTTGTTTTGATTTTCTAATCGTTACTTAGATACATGTTTTTCGTCAAAAGAAATCGATAGCACTTAAAAAGCTGAACAGACGTAAAGGTTTTCCCAAAATGAATGTGTAGAGAACAGAGCTTCCTACCCTAGTGAAACTTCTTGTACCCAAGATCTTGGGTTAAGAAA